CTAACGATGAACAGTCGCTCATAAAAACATTGCTTATTCGCATGAGAATCTTAAGTTTTCTTATTTTGACATAATAGCTATTTTTCAAACAATATATTGATCTTAAACTTATTGAATCAATATTTTAAGTTTCAGATCAGATGTACCAAAAGTTATAAGCGGTCGCGCATCATTACCAGGGCACAGGGTCGGTCATACAGAAGCCCAATTTATTGGTTTTTCTTATGGTTTTCCAATGATTTTGGCGTGACCGTAATTCATCATCAAAATGCTGACGTCACGGTCCTGGCTGCTGCGCTTTTGGGAGGCATTTAACCCCCTGATAATATTCAAAATGATAGACGTCCAGGGGGGGGGGAGGGGGTTGCCTCTTTGATGCGCACTGGTTGGGACGTGGCAGCGTTTACTCTAATTACAGTCTTTCAAAACATGGTTTGGACACACCGCTAAAGTCTTTGTTCTATCTTATTGTTTTGCGTTTATGCAGTTTTGTGCACGGTGTACAGTCAATTATGAACACATAGTATTTCAGTATAATGAACGAATCATCCAACAGCGACGTTTCAGTTCAGTCATTCAACCATGTTAGTTAAATATTAATAAACCTAAAACAAAGGATGTGCATGGTGTAAGGTACGGCTCAACGTAAAATCCCAGCTCATTATAACCGCTTTGAAGTTTACTGAGTTTCCAGACCATGTTTTGAAAGACTATGCTCTAATCGACCTTCTGTGTATCTTTGTTCAGTGCCAGGGGGTAACTGCTTCTGTTTACTGTACTTGCCGACTGACAAATCATGACAAATAACACGTACACAGAAAACAATGGAGATGGCCATGATTTCTGCATAGTATTCTGAGTCGTGAGGTTTCATGGTTTTGATGGCATGCAACATGTACGCACTACGTACCTATTTTTTAGAATATTGCGATGGTATTTTACTGTTTTACCAACCGCGAAGGCCAGTGTGAACGCCTGAGCAGGCGTCTTGTTAGGTTTAAAGCCACGAGCGCGCAGCGCAAGTGGCTTTAGACCTAATAAAACACGACCTGCGAGTTTTTTAAATGGCTTCAAAAACGTTTGCATAATAAGTCAAATCTTTATATAAAAATCTTTATATAAAAATCTTTATATAAAAATCTTTATATAAAAATCTTTATATAAAAATCTTTATACAAAAATCGTTATATAGTTTGCATAACAATGTCTTTTGTTAAAGTGTTCTTTAGCTGGTATAAAGACGTATGCACGTGACTAATTTCTTACTCAAGATTGGATAATTGCTTCATGAATTATTAATGAGTTTTTGAAATATGTATATATATATATATATATATATATATATATATATATATATATATATATATATATATATATATATATATATATATATATATATATATATAAATGTACTCAGAATAACAAAAAAAATTATAAGTTTTCACGGTTATGTATTGAAATGTTTAATTTTCCCAATGGATTGGATACGAGTAGGTTTGTGACCATGTTATGCGGTATTTTCCAGGCATCCTGCAGAGGAGAAGCGAATGTCATAATGGCGGTAAAATGACTTGGAATCCAGTTAAACCCTTCATCTGCCTATGTAAAGAGGGGTACGAAGGAGAGCTTTGTGAAAAAGGTAACACATGGTATCCCAGAAAGAATGCTCCCTATATACTAGTCAACATTTACGACCTTCTTAAACGATTGTCAGATACATGTCAGCCTAACTGACTCTTTCTAAACTTGTATACTTTTATTATTTTACCAGACACCGATGAATGTTCCGAGAAATCGAAAAATAAATGTGACATGAACGCAAATTGTACTAACACTCCAGGTTCCTACAATTGCCTGTGCCACACTGGATTCTTGGGAAATGGAAAAAGCTGTAGAGGTATGTACGTAACCGGTCGGGGCGGGCAACAATTTTCACTTTGAAGCAAAAAAATAAGTAGAGATTTTACGTTAAAAATAATTTAAGCTGCATGCAGAGTTCTGAACCGATTGAAGCCCCTTGATCACATATTTAGGTGATGATAACAAACAGCAGCGGTGTCCAGGAGATACAACTATGAACTACCGGCTAAAAACTCAAAGTGAACGAATATCCTTGAAATAAATTAAATGAGTGTCAGATAAATGTCATTCTGACTGATATTCCTAAATTTGATTAATTTTATTATTTTACAAGACATCGACGAATGTTCCAAGGAATCAACAAATCAATGCAACTCAAACGCAGATTGTTTCAACATTCCTGGTTCGTACAACTGTAGTTGTTCTACCGGATATAGAGGATGGAAACTAATTTGTACAGGTATAAAATATTTTAAAATTGGATCTTCGCACGTGTTTTAATTTTCGACACTATATTTCGATAAAATTGCACTTCCTTTAGGCAATCAACATTGTAATATGCTCATGAGCATGCTTATGAGCATAGTGCATAATATTTGTATATATATATATATATATATATATATATATATATATATATATATATATATATATATATATATATATATATATATATATATATATAAAATCGCCTGATGATCGTCTAGAAAGGACGTGAAACTCAGAGTAGCGATATTTAATTTTAAGATATAAACAATCTATATATATATATATATATATTTTGGTACGTATATGGGCGTGCTCATGACGGAGACGGCGCTCAATCGCTTAAACGAGTAGGCCAAAATACGGTATTTCCTTACCACAATATTTTCAATTTTCAGTATATTGCGGGAACCCAGGCTATCCAGAACACGGGTATAAAAGTGGAAGTGTATACACAGTTGGATCAGCGATGTCTTTCTCTTGTTCCAATTCCGGCGAAATTCTAAGGCCCGGTTTAGACGGCGAACTTTTCATGCGCCGAATCTAATGCAAGAATTAAGTGCGACGCTGGAGCGGCGTCTAAATCAATTAAGTTCGGCAGGTTTTGATTAAGTTCGACACGACTCGAAGATGCGACAGGACAAGTCGTATATGCGACACAGGTTCGACATTGATTTAGACGCCGTGCTTTTCATGCGCCGAACCTAATGCATAATTATTTTTTAAATTAACATCATAATATGATTATCATATATTTGCATTGTAAATATTTCCAATATAATGTCTTCGCAATTTGGTACGGTGCAATTAAGTTCGACGTCTAAATCAGTTTCCGATATTTTGCCGTATCTACGACAATTAGATTCGGCGCATGAGAAGTTCGCCGTCTAA